ATATATTTTTGTTTGTTTGTTTGTCTTTCTTTTGGTTTGGCCTTGCCGTGGGGCATTCAGGATCGTGGTTTCCTGATCAGGGATTGAATTCGCGCGCTCTGCAGTGGAAGCATGGAGTCTTACCCACTGGACGCCAGGGAAGCCCCCTGAGTGAACGTTTTTAAACCTCTTGATACATATTACCAGACGGTTTTCTGGAAGGGGTTTATCCCTTCCAGCAGTGTGACTTCTCAGTGTACTCTTGCTGGACTGTGTATTGATATTGTTATTTTTATGGCTTTGAGAGGCAGAAAAATAATACTCTGTTGTGTTAAAAACAACACGTCTAGCAAAGAAGCACATTTCTTTGAAATGTCTCTGCACAGGATCTGACTTTCCCAGGTCCATGGGAACGCTTTCTGACAGTGCTCGGTGGCCAGCTGCCCATAGCAGGTCTTTCAAGGTCATGCTCTGGTCACTGGTCGTGCTTACCGTGTCAGCTGGTGGGGTGTGGAGTTGCAGGCCCGTGCTTCTGGGAAAGCACCCGAAAGAGAGGCAGCTTAGAAAATAGGGCTTAAGGTCACCCAGTCTCACTGGTCTCCAGCCGGTGCCCCTCAGACGCCTCTGTCCTGCATAGCAGCTTCCTGGGCCTCTCAGGGAGTCAGAAATGGAGGGCGCCCTCTGTGGCAGAGCACCCATGTTTTTACATTTTGCGTATCGATGGGAGGCGTACGATCACGTTTGGAAAAGGGTTCTGCTGTTTAAGAGGCTCGAAAACCCATCCAACCCCCTGAGCAGTTGAGCCCAGGAGAGGGGCTGTGACTGTCCCAGGATCATTGTGTGTGAACCCAGGGGTGAACTACCCAGCTCAGGCTTGGGCCAGGCCGCTTCGTATTTCAGTGGGATTCAAGGGGGAGGAAATGGGTCCTCACGTGTTGGCATATTGATGGTCCCTCAGTCTGGGCACCAGTTTAAAACCACGCTCGGGGACTTCTTCCTGGAGGCCTCAACTGTAAGGGGATCCACTTGTGTGGTTCCCCGACTTGGAGGCCCACAATTAGGCGGGATGAGTTTCACTCGGATTCATGTGTCAGCTCAGATCTTGTTCTAAAGCTTTCCTAAATCCCCTGGGAATAGAAAGACTTTCAGACATATGTAACTCTTGTGTCAAACACCTCTTTGGTGGAACAGCAGGGCCCCGCTGTGCCTTGGGGCCAGGGGCTGGGAAAGGGTTGGTTGTGGCTAAATCTGAGGGAAGAATGCAAGGGAAGGCAGGATGGTTTTTCTTGTGGTCAAGTTTTTGATACATTTTTTAAAGATAATTTTGGTCCAGCCATCATAAGTAATATGATCGTTGTAGAACATCTGCCAGTGTAGAGAGAAATAAAGAACGTATATCCCATACATAACTCCATTGCCCCTGGTAACGTGTCAAGAGTTGTTCCTTCCAGCCTTTTAAAAATTAACTTATATAACGTAGAAAGAACCTGGGCTTCATGGTGTCACAGACCAGCCACCTGACCTTGAATAAACTTTTTATTTCTTTTGGCCTTAGTTCCTGTGTGTGTAGTTTGGGGATAATTTCTACCTTTGGGGGCGATTGAGGGTAGAGAGAGCAGGATGACAGGAGTGTTGGGCAGAGTGCCTGCCTCGTAGTAGACGTTCAGTAAATGGCGCACCTGCCTACCTGAGACCACAGTGTGTGTGGTTACATACCCTGTGTTTTTAATTTGTCATGAGAATTATGCTAGGTCTGAAAGCCTTTTAAAGACTCACATTCCATCACTGGGATGTACCATAATTTACTTCAGAATCCCCTTCTTCCATTATTATAAAGTATTTAGGTTGCCCCCAGAGTGAGGCTTTTTTTCCCATGGTCAATTAGAATAATAGTTTTCATAATTAAGAACACCCTAAATAGCCCCATCATTAAGAGCCAAAACAAATTAGGTTTTTGAACTGCGGCTTGGGGATGGTTGAGGCTGTAGCAGAGAATGGGTGCCTTGACTGGCTGCTGCGTGTGTGTAATTGCTGCCTTTGAGGGGGAACAGCAGTGGGCATTCTGGGCCTCACCCCAGGCCCCTGGAGGGAAAGGTGCTCCTCCCCTGTCGTGTGTGTTTCAGCCCCTCTGGGATTTGAGGCGTTTGAAGAACTGCAGCTCCAGCGTTGGGTCAGCCTCAGCTCTGCCCTCTGGGAGTTCCCGTTGTGGGGGGTGTGGGAGGGGGGACAGATGCTGAAACCAGTAAATGCAGTCTGGTTCGGATAAGCGGGATATGCAGTGAAGATGCACAGGAGGGTGGAGTCAGCACTTTCTGGTGAGGGCCTGGTCAGAGGGCTCGGAAGGGGTGCTCTGGCTGAGTCTGGAAAGATGGGCACATTTGTTGGGGGCTCAGATGCGGAGAGGATGGGAATCCAGACACGGGCAGCAGGATCCACGGCTGGGAGGTGGGATACAGTGCCGAATGTTCTGGCACTCGCTAAGATTTGATGCAGCTGGACAAAAAGTGGAGGCCTTGGTATTAGTGGGGACAGTGGCCAGTCACGGAGGGGCTGTGTGCCGGGTCTTTCTCATCGCTGGGTCTCCAGGACCCTGCCAGCCTGGACCGTGGTGTGCCTGCAGTTTGCAGCTCTAGCTGAAGTTCTCAAGTGGAATTCTCAGGCTGTTTGGCAGAGTTCTCCAAGTCGGTTCACCTGGGGATGTGTGGGCATGCTGGAGCATACCACGTGTGCTGGTAACTGGGAGGCACCCCCCTCCGGCTGAGAGATGAGTGATGCCTGTCAGGAGGTGCCGGGGGAAAGTCTGGGCTCAGGAGTAATTGGCCCCGAAACCAGTCCTGTGATTTGTACCTGGATGTCGTTCCAGGGACCTCTAATTGCAGGCGCTGAGCTAATAAACCCTCCAGCCATCTGAAGGGCATCCCGGGCCTGGTTCTCCAGGGTGGGAGGCGTGCTTTTGTTGAAGTGGTTACAGCTCAGGGGCGGGCCTGGCTCCCCCAGGTGTGCTCAGAGTTATCTCGGGCTTGACTCACCACCTGTGCTCTCAGGTAGCACGGAGCCGCCCTGGGCCACCGCTCCTCCCCCAGACGCAGGGGGGAGGCAGGGGTGGGATGGAGGGGGCAGGGAAAGGGAGGGAGGCCTGGGTCTGCTGATAGCTGCTGCGTGCCTGACGTGCACCTGTCCGTCTGAGTCCCCGAGGAGAGCACTGAGAGTCTAGGGTGATGTGGCCGTGTCCAAGTGAAGTCAGGCTGGGAGTGCCTGGCCACCTTCATAGGAGACACAGCGAGTGGAGTGCAGTGAGTAAGAGCTGTGTGGACGCCAGAGCCCATGCCCCTTCCTTTTCACATGCTGCTCCAGGTCTGCCTTCCTCATGGGGCAGACGGTCTCAACCTTCTTACGGAAACCCTGCTGGAGTGCAGTCTCAGGGACAGCAGCGAAAGCCCAGGGCACCAGCCTCATTAGTGGCCATGTTAGCAAGTCACTGAAACTTCCAGGGCCTCAATTTCCTTGTCTGCAAAGTGGGAACAAAATTCGATGCCTGTGCTTAAGGGGGTTGTGTGGGAACTGGAGCAGGTGCCGTGACTGGGACCCTCTTGGCACCAGGGCCCTCCATGGACATCACAGCTCAGGGTGCTCATGGCTTGAGACGCAGGCTTCTCTTCCCTCCCCCTCTTGCCCCCTCTCTCCCCTCTAAGCAGGGCCTGGAAACGGAGCTCGAAGCAGAGCCCAGACCAAGCCTTCCCTGCTAAGAGAAAGCGCATTAGCTAGGGTTGACCTGGGTGTGCGCTCGTGCCATCACTCAGCAGTGTGTGTGTGGCCTTCCGTAATGCCTTGACTTCTTGAAGCTTTGGTTTCCTGTCCATAAGGGGAGAAATACGGCCTGGACAGTCTGTTCCGCCTAACTGAGACGAGTCCCTCTGGTGTTTGTCACTGAACATCGGCCCGGTTCCCCTTGCACCCCCAGAGCTGGTGCTCTGGGCACTGTGTCCACAGCGCCCCTCTCTCCTTCAGACACTTGCAGGTGCTGGAATCGTCATCTGCTCCTGAATTCAGCCATGCTCAGAGCTAATCCCTGTCAAACTCATGCTGCTTGACATGGTCTGTGCTGAGGCTGGTGATGTGGCTGTAGACAAGGCCGACTTGGGGGTGTCTGCCATCTGAGGGGGAAAGAAAGACATCACCCCCGCATATGTTCCATGGTGCTGGGGAGGAGAAGTTCATGTGACAGGTGGCTTGGGAACACCCTGAATGATGCAGCTAGGCGGGGGTGACTGGAAGAGGAAGGTCTTGGGAGATGGGTATAAAGTCTCTGGAACTGGCCGCTGGTCAGCAAGACCCAGGCCCCGGGAGTGGGGCTCAGAGAGGCCGGAGAGAGAGGACCTCAGCGTCCAGGGGATTTGAATGTCCATCTCAAGCTCCATGCTCTGTGGTTAATGGTGCGGGAGGCCAAGGTGGCCTGGAGGCCTGGGTGGGACTAGGAGCCACCCCAGCTTTGAGTCCCTGTCCTGCCATTGACCCCTGGGCTGGCCTTGAGCCCCAGGTCCTTTCTGAGACCCAGTTTTGTTTTGTTTTTTTCCAATCTGTAACACCACAGGTATTATTTTGTGTCTTACAAACCTACTTTGGAAACTGTGGCATCCTCACAGAGGTATAAAGGGTCCTCATGGCCCCAGTCCACGAAGGATTTGAGGTGACTCGTGAAAATACGCTGTAAAAAGATACACTTAGTAGCTGGGCCAGAGGGAAAGTATTGGTAAAAGGACAGAAGCAGGGCTGATGGTTAGCACCCAGAATTCAGTCACTGTGTCTTCCTGGACATTTGTACAGGTAAGAACGCTGCTTGACTGACGCTGGGTTCTTGCTGGCTGCCTGAGCAAGGAGACAGGATGAGGTATTTGGTACACGAAGCTTTTAAGGTATTGGGGGAGAGTGACTGGAAAAGCATGATCTTTTTTGCTGCACCCGGACCGACTCCAGCAGTGCCACCATGTGTGTGGGTAACCGCTTGTCTGTCTTGTTTACAGGTCTCCTGGCAGCACTGGGCAATGAACCCAAGACTCCAGCCCAGTGTGGTCTGAAGCTGTTGGAGAAGACAGGGCGTCCTGGGGAAGATGGCCATGGCGCCGAGCCCTTCCCTGGGTCAGGTGTACACCAGCCCGGTGGCAGTGGCCGTATGGGAGTGGCAGGATGGGCTGGGCACCTGGCACCCCTACAGCGCCGCCGTCTGCAGCTACATCGAGCAGCAGTTTGTGCAGCAGAAGGGCCAGCGCTTCGGGCTGGGGAGCCTGGCCCACAGCATCCCCTTAGGCCAAGCCGACCCCTCGCTGGCTCCTTACATCATCGACCTCCCCAGCTGGACGCAGTTCCGCCAGGACACTGGTAAGACCCTTCCTGCCTCTAGTGTGTGTCTAGGTGCCTCCTTCGGGCTGGGCATTGTGCTCTGTGTTCGGGTCACAGAGTAGACTCGGCGTCACCCTGCCTCTGAAACACACAGGGTCAGGAGGCGGACGTTGAGGGATAGCAGGTACCACACAGTGTGTGAGGTACCACTTGGTGGAACAGGGTGCCTTGAAACACAGCGCGGAGGCCGTCCCTGCCCCGTCCCCCTTGTCTCCCAAAGCAAAACTGCCTGATTGTGCCTGTAGAGAGTCGAGGGTCTCGCGCGCAGCAGGCAGGCAGGCCAGCCAGCATGGGGGTGGCACGCCGCGCTCGTGAAGAGGGCCTGGTGGTGAGTTCTGGCTCCTGAAGCACAGTCGTGGCGCCCGGGCAGGTTACTTCACTCTCCTGGGCTCTCAGGTTTCTTTTGTATGTGCATATTAATAGTGTGGGCTTCCCCGGTGGCTCAGTGGTAAGGAATCCATCTGTAGTGCAGGAGACCTGGGTGTGATCCCGGGGTCGGGAAGATCCCCAGGAGGAGGGCATGGCAACCCACTCCAGTGTCCTTGCGTGGAGAGTTCTGTGGACAGAGGAGCCTGGTGGGCTACAGCCCATGGGATCGCCAAGAGTTGGACACGGCTGAGTGACTGAGCAGCAGCAGCCTTGACCAGTGTTACCAAGAATGGGGCCACCAGCTTCTTCCCAGAGCTGTGCCGTGTCCCTCCAGATCAGTGGTTCTCAGCCGAGGGTGACTGTCTCCCGGTACACTGGGCAACATGTGGGGACATTTTTGACTGTCAGGACTGTGGGGTGCGTGCTACCGGCATCTAGTGGGTAGAGGCCTGGGATGCTACAAAATAAACATCCTACAGTGTACAGGACCGGCCCCACAACAAGGAACTGTCGGCCCCAAATGCACTGGTGCCCAGCCTGAAGAATCCGGCTCTGATCCCATAGCAGCCTCCTCGGGGGTGTCAGGACTCAGGCTTCCAGGCAGCGGATGCAGATAAAAGTCCCGGCCCTCATGACATTTGCAGTCACCGAGAAAGGCAGCGAGCAAGATAAATAACTCGTGACCCATGTATGGTTGGGTCAGTGAGTGTTTTTGAGGGTGTGTAACCTGTAGGGATAGGTTACTCTGAAGTTTGAGCTCGTGTGGCCTGGTCACCAGGAAGGGCCAGGCACAGACCAGGGGAGGGGCAGCTCGTGCAGGGCTTTTCTGTCCCTTGAAGGGACTTCAGTTTTTCTTCTGAAGGGAGGAGGCCCTGGAGGGCTTGGGCAGAAGAGTGACATCATCTGATTTGGGGGTTAAGTGTATTGCTCTGGCTGCTGAGGTCAGGAGACCAGGTAGAGGTTAATCACAGTAATCATCTTTCGGCAAGTATTGTTGGAAGCATGGCCCAAATTGATTTTTTCCTTTCTCCTTTCCTTAATCATGTGATTTGGTTTATTCATATAAGCTAACCACAGATGTTTCCTAATAGTTGCTACCTGAGAAGTCCAAGGGAATCCAGGTACATCCCTGTAAGAGAAGTCTGTAAAAGTTAATGAGTTTCTGGGACTTCTCTGGCCGTACAGTGGTTAAGACTCTGCGCTTCCACTTTGCCAGGGGTCACAGGTTTCTTCCTTGGTTGGGGAACTAAAATCCCACATGCCATAGGGCCGAAAAAAAAAAAAATTACAAAAAAAGTTAATGAGTTTCACAGAGTCTTAGACACCTAAGAACTACTTATGGCATCAGTTCAGTTCAGTCACTCAGTCGTGTCTGACTCTTTGCGACTCCATGAATCGCAGCACGCCAGGCCTCCCTGTCCATCACCAACTCCTAGAGTTTACTCAAACTTATGTGCATCGAGTCGGTGATGCCATCCAACCATCTCATCCTCTGTCGTCCCCTTCTCCTCCTGCCCCCAATCCCTCTTACAGCGTAGTATATGGAAATAGGAAAGGTTTTCATTATGATTGTCAGCTGCAGCTTAACATATGTGCTTAAATGACTGGATGGGTCAGAATATATTGCAGTACACGAAGTGTGCTTTCCGCTCAGTGGTTGGATTATGGATGATTTCATCTCCTTCAGGCGTTTTTGTTTTGGTTCCTTCGGTCAGCCCACACAGGTTTCATCATTAGGAATATTTTGAGAAGCCTCATCGAGTCTGAACCACAGCTGGTCTTTGACCCAGTCTCCTAGTCCAGCTGAGAAAGGCCAGTTCCCCTCTGCCACTTCGTCCCTTGGGTCCACAGTTTCTCTGCACAGAGAGCGCACTCTACCTTTCATCCCAAATTTGGAGAGAGTCATTAGTGTCAGCCTTTAGGTCAAACAGCAGCATGACCCATGTGTATATACCGTGACCGCATTATCTTATGTTGGTTGTAGGGGAAAAAAGGAATTTTAAACTCCCTTGGTTTGAGGGTGGTGAGAGGCCGGCAGATGAGCTGTTTACGTGCATCCTTCCATTTAACACAGGCACCATGCGGGCCGTGCGGAGGCACCTGTTCCCGCAGCACTCGGCCCCCGGCCGGGGCGTCGTCTGGGAGTGGCTGGGTGACGACAACTCCTGGACGGCCTACGAGGCCAGCGTCTGCGACTACCTGGAGCAGCAGGTGGCCCGGGGCAACCAGCTCGTGGACTTGGCGCCCCTGGGGTACAACTACACCGTCAACTACGCCACCCACACGCAGACCAACAAGACTTCCAGCTTCTGCCGGAGCGTGCGGCGCCAGGCAGGGCCCCCGTACCCGGTGACCACCGTCATCGCTCCGCCGGGCCACACGGGGGTGGCCTGCTCTTGCCATCAGTGCCTCAGCGGTGGTACCACCGGCCCCGTGTCAGGCCGCTACCGCCACTCCATGACCAACCTCCCTGCCTACCCCGTCCCCCAGCCCCCCCACAGGACCGCCATTGTTTGGGGGACCCACCAGGCCTTTGCTCCATACAACAAGCCCTCCCTCTCCGGGGCCAGGTCGGCGCCCAGGCTGAACACCACCAACCCCTGGGCCGGGGCGCCATCCTCCCTGGGGAACCCACCCCTCTACCGCTCCAGCCTCTCCCACCTGGCATCGCAGCACCAGTCTTCAGGACTGTCCACCACCAGCGCAGCCAGGTAGCTTGTGTTTCCAACAGCTGTGTGTCCAGCCGCGTGCCTTGTCAGGGCCTTGGGTTTCCGCCTTTGTTTAGCTGGGAAGGCTCCCCCAGTGCCTTGCAGACCCTGCACCTGCCTCCTTGGCGGTCCCCACTACTTCGTCATCTCCTTTGCACGGGTCACGTGGCGCCAGGGGACCACGGCCATCCACAGCCTTGTGTCCCACCGAGCCTCCGTGACCTCTGGCACGCAAGTGCTGGTCGTTGCCACGTGGGTTAAGAACCAGTCATCCATTCGTTTCCTCAGGAGAATCGGGCTCTCTGAGCAGTTAGAGGTTCTTTGGCTGTGCGTGTGTGCCCATAGCTGGGTACGTGAGGACATTTCACAGATTCCCGCTATGTGCCCGGCCCTGAAATCACAGACATGGAAGGTTCAGTCCTCTCCCTGAGCCCATGGCCTTGTCCAGGGGAAGGCTGGAGCCCAGTTTTCGTGTAACAGTTGGTTGAGGAAAGAGCAGAATGCTGAGCACGTGGGGGTGGCAGCAGGTGGTGTAGGCTGACTGCTGTGCCGGTCCCTAGGGCACCCTGAGAAAGTGAGAAGATGAGCCCCATCTAAGTTAGGTGACACTTTATAGTGGGAAAACCCTGGAGTGGCCAGCGGTGGATGCTTCCGGGGTGCTGACACCTGTTCTTGACCAGGGGCCTCAGCGTTGATCATTAGTGAGAGTTGGGCCTGCAGAATGTTTTGAGGATTCGCAGTGGTGGCCGGGAGGGGGGCAGATTTCTGAGAGAGGGTGACCTGGGCGGGCGGTGACTGGACGTGAGAACCTGTGGCTGCCCTGTTTCCCGGAAAGTTGGCATCTTGGTTCCACCTCGCTCACCCAGCCCATCCCAGCCCTCCTGACCACGAGGAGGGCCGAAGCTTCCTAGTGTGGCTGAGACCTCCTTGGCAGCTTCTGGGGCCTCTAGTGTTTTCTCCAGAGGACCTTTCCGGCGTCAATAAGACAATGATAACTTCACTCACCGAGCACCCATTACAGCCAGGCTTGGTTTTCCCAGATCCTCACAATGTCCTGTAGTGGGTGGTGTCCCCAGATTCCAGGGGAGCACGTTGAGGCTGGCGGGATTAGCAGCACAGCCAGGATGTGGCAGAGCTGGGCTCAAACCCAGGCCCCTTGCGGGCCGCGTGGGGCACGTGGAGCTCTGGAAGCCGTCTGAAAGATGGAGTGAGAGGAAGACAGGGTGTCCTGGCGGGTGCGTGCAGAGGCCGCCGGTGCAGAGGAGAGGCTGGGCCCACTGGGTCCTGTCGTCTTCCTGCACGTCTTTTCCTTTCCGAAGCTGAGGCTCATGGATCTGAGGTCTTCCTGGGAATTGGAAGCACGGGTAAGACTTGGGCCTTCCCCAGAGACATAAGCATGCTGGGCTCTGTGCCAACCCAGTCCCTCCTGGTGCCCTGCGAGGCCCCTTCCAGTACGTGGGTTAGTCTATTTTAGAGAAAAACACGTCACATCTGCCAGCCCAGAAGGGTTATCAGTAAGGGTGAAGCCGCTTTTACGACTCAGTCAGCTTTGCCCAGCCTCCTGGGGCTTGCGTTCTGACGCATTAACTGAGGCAGGTTTCTCAAAGGTTCTAGAGCTGGGATTCTGGGAGGAGCCGGGTGACCACTTGGGCCTTGTTACTTTCTTCTGGCACGGGGCTCCCATTGGTCTCCCCTGAGATTTCTCCGGAGTCTCCCCTCCCCAGCCTGAGGGCCCCGTCCAGGCAGGTTGCAGAAGGGGAGGCGGTGGGGCCAGATAGCCTCACGTCTGCTGCTTGGTCGTGCGTGTTGCTGCTTGCCTTGCCGCCCTGCCTTGTAAACCAGGTGGGAACTGGGCCAGTCCAGTCGACTCTGGTAGGTGAAGCAGGGTCAGAGGGGCCTGCCTCCTGACGGGGGGTTCACCTAGACCTCCTGGCCCATCTCTTCAGGAGCGGGGAGGGGCGTCTCACACTGGCAGGGGTCGGTCTTCCCACGTCTGACTTAGTGTGTGGCCCTCTGCGGTCAGCTGTCTCTGATGGCTGTTGTAGAGCCAGAGGGGGTCTAATTAATCCCTGACCTCTTCACCCAGCCGGGCTGGGAGGATTTGAAAACACTTGGCACCTCGGTTCTCTTGCGGCCGTGGTGTAGTTTCTCCAGGCCAAGTGAATGTCGGCAGCGTCAGGTGAAGTCACCAGGTGTGAGGAGGAGAAGGCGATGGGGTGGGCAGCGCCATGGACTGGGGAGACCTGGGAACCAGCAGCATTTACTGGTAGCCCCTGGGGAGGACCTGTGAGTGAGCGAAATGAAAGTTTGTGGAGCCCCTGTGGGTTCTTTTTTTGGAACCCATGTAGTTTCAAATCCCTTCTTGCTCAATCCGGGTAAAACCTCGGCTGACGGATTCGCCTTGTGCCCCAGGAGCCTTTCTCTGAGTAAGTAATCCATCGGGAAGATACGTGATTTGTCACTGAGCCGCTGGGTTTAAGTAAATTTCCTGGTAGCTGAAGTTTATCCCTTTAAGCACCAAAACTTGTGTTTTAATGATGTTGGATGGAAGACTTTCCAAAATGTGTCACGCACACGTTGTTTAATAGCGGGTGTGCCAGCCAGTTTAGCTCTCTGCTGACTCAGGGCTGTGATTCCGAGCAGCCCTCTGTTGCAGCTTCAGTGTGGCGAGGCCTCGGGGGTCTTTGCCCCTGCACTTACCCAGCCTAGGAAAACAGCTCTCGTTTTCTTCCATCTACTCTGTTCTTGTCGCTACTGTTCTCCCAGCCTCTGAAAGTTGCATGCTGCTCCCTCCTGCTATCAGTCAGGCTCTTTAAACCTGTGGGATTGGGGTCCTGGACTCCAGTGGGACCTGACTCCTGACTCACTCGCTGTGAGCCCTCAACTCAGCTCTGTTCTCTCTCTCCGTCTCTCTTTTCCCCTTGTAAGATTACCAGGTTGGCCGGGGCAGTTGCCGAAGTTTCCCTTTGCTCTGACAGGGCTGTGGTGGTCAGGATTTAGTGAGGGCCCCGTGGCTCTCCAGAACCGCCTCGCTCCGCTGGGACCTGGGACACAGTGGGCTTGCACTGTGCACTGATCCTGGCAGCCACCGTGGGGGCCCTGGGGGATGATCCTCATCTTAGAGAGAGAAAGTAAAGCTCAGAAACAGGACTCGACGTGCCCCACAGTGGGCGCTGGCAGTGGGGTCCCCAGGCTCTGAATGCATCTTCAGCGCCTTGAACTGCGCGTGCTCAGAGGGTCCCCCATGGGGAGCTGGAGGGAGGCTTTGCATGCCTTGCTCTCCTGCCTCCTCGTTCTGCCGCTTGGTCAGGACTGCACAGTCCTGTCCAAGTAGAAGATGAGAAATCTCTGTCTTGTGTTCTCGGCTCCGCTTGAAAGCTCCTGGAGATGGTTTCTCAGTTGGGAAAGGCAGGGACGGCCTAGTAGGTAGACCCAGGAACCCAGCAGGCAGGCAGGAGGCTGGTAGGAAGGAATTCTCAGAAGGGCACTTCATGGGCAAATGGTACCCACATCAGGGAACATTCTGCCAGTCTGAGCTCTTAGCGGACAGTGCAGGGGGATCTGTGACCTCTGAGGCTCTGTCTGCCCCTCAAAGTTCCCATTGTGGGAACCGCTGGATCCTTTCTCTGTCCCTTCTGATCACAGCAGAGAAATGTGTGGGGGAGGAGCTGGGGAAAGTTGCAGAGGAAGTGACACCGTGAGACCCCTAAGCAGATGGAACTTTCATGGTTCCTGGTCCGGTTCCCAGGTGAGTGCCTGTTGGAAGCCTTACTGCCTGTCTGCTTTCTGCTCTCGTTCATGTTGTAGAACCTGAGCCTCAGCCTTCTCTCTCAGATACAGACCTCTCGCCAGCAAGGGAAGACCCCGCTGCCCAGCCCACTGGGTTGCCCCGTGGAGCAGCAGAGCCAGGCTTTGGCTTTCCCGCTTCCTGGCTCATTGCTCCCTGTTGAGTTGGCTTAGGAGATGAAGGACACCTCCAGGGACTATATCTTCTCCAAGTCCTTCACTTCTAGAACCTGAGAATTGAAGAAACAGACTCAGGAAGGGGGTGGGGTGTGGCTTCACATTAAACAACTTAGTGGGGCCAAAGCCTTAGCCCGGATGACTGCATGCGCGCCCTTCCCCCACTGCCTTAGCAAAGCATCCAGGCCCGGTCCCATTGTCCTCTTGGGGCTGACGATAGACGATAGACATGGGCGGCAGGAAGCGTAAGACATGGCGGTAGTCCAGAAGTGAAAACCAGTACCATCCAGTATGAGATTTTCTGATGTGGACCAGAACCAGCCAGCTCCCTGTTGCGTCCACTGACGGCATCTGTGACACGAGGCTGGCGGTAGGCAGGGGCCCGGAAGAGCTCCCAGAAGCATTTGCCACCACTAGGTGGCTCCTGGGCTGCTGGCCGTTGTGAGGGTAGCACAGCAGGCTGGAGGCGTTCATTGTTTCCTGAGCACCTTCCCGGCTCCTGGCCACAGGCTGAGTCCAGTGAACCCAGGCCCTGTCCTTGGGGAGTTCCAGTTAGGGACTGTGGACCCTTCCTATTGTATCATCTTGAACATGAGCAGGGCTGGAGGGACACAGTCATTGGGATGGGGAGGGAGTAGCAGACATCTCGGACCATCTGCATCAGCCGTCTCCAGTATAGGGCTCCCCACAAGCCATGCTGGCATGGATTTATTACCATTTAAAAATATAATGGCTTCCCTGGTGGTCTAGTGGCTAAGACCCTGTGCCCCCAGTGCAAGGGTCCTGGGTTCAATCCCTGGTCAGGGAACTAGATCCCACATGCTGCAACTAAGACCTAGTACAGCCAAATCAATCAACAAATATTTTTAAAATGAAAAAAATATAATCACATACACACATATATATAATGGCTTAAAACCAAGTGAAAAAGTTGGAATTAGTCACTGTGGGAAGCAAGACCTTCATTAAAAATGTTTTTTTCCTTTATTTTAAACTAATTTTGGATTTATAGGAAAGTTACAAAGATAGTGGAGTTTCCATATCTCTCTTACTTGACTTCTCGTGTTAACATCTTTCATGATAACTGTAGGGCAATTGCCAGAACCAGCAGAGACTCACTGTTGGTGTGGGACTATTAGCTAAAGACGTTTCTGATTTTCATCAGTTTTTTCTGTGGTGGTCTCTTCCTGATCCATGAACCCACTCTGCATCCAGTTGTCCTTCCTCCTCTCCTCCTCCTCTGAATAAAACTGCTCTTCAGTCTTTCTTCATCTTCCATAACCTTGACACTTTGGAAGAGTCACTTTTGTCAAATGGCCTTAATTTGGTTTCATCAAATGATTTCTCATGATTGGACTGAGGTTATGCTGTTTTGGCAGAAACCACAAAAAGGGTGTTAATTTCCTTCTCAGAACATCTTTTCTTGGAGTTCCTTATGATGTTTGGCCCATTACTGGTGGTATTGGTCTTGACCACTAGGAGTGGTTTCCATTGGACTTCCACTCTGTGGGTACCACAGAGCCCTCATTTTGGTGAAGCTGGTGAGCTCATAGTTGTTTCAGGATTTGTTTTCAGAGTCTCAGGATTGTCCAGGAGAGCATTTTTTGACAGCCAGCGCTTCATTCTCCACACCGTGTAAAAAGATGAGTCTCGTCCCCAGCCGTGTCCTTCCCTGCCCAGTGTGCCCTCCCCTCCCCAGTGCCCCACTTGGAGTCTGACTTTTGTTGCTTGATTTTCACGGAGGAAGTGCTTTCGAGAGTCGTGACCATCAGACCTCTTTGCTTGTCCTTTGACATATTCTTCGTCAGGATCTTTCCTCTTAAAAAGAAAAACCAGAAGCCCTCCGCGCACAGAGGCCGCTGCGGGGAAGTGAAACCGCAAAGGGGCCTCGGCAGCACCAGTGTCTTCCTCACTGGCTGTTTCTGCCAAGTCAGCTCCTCACATTAAACTCTGTCCCCTTCTTCTCCCCAAGTGCCTCCCTGCCCAGCGGTTTGGCGAGCAGCCCCCGGAGCGTCCCTGCCACGGTGCCCGTGCAGATGTCGAAGCCCAGCCGGGTCCAGCAAGCCCTCGCAGGTAGGCAGGTGGTCCCCGGTCCAGACATGTCCGCCGGGGGCGGGGAATGCGTGGGGCAGGGGGAGGAGATTGTGGGGAGGGGGTCTTTTGACCCTCCGTGTTCTTGTGGAAACCCACAGGGGCTCCTTGGGGGGCAGCGCCTCTTTTCAGTGATGATGACCCCCCCCACCCCGTGAGTGAGCCTGGGTGCCCCCTCATTTGTCTCAGTGCTGGGGGGATCATACCTGATGATGGTGGATGCCCGGTGTGGACATTCTCCATCTTTTACGTTTTCACATCACCTTGAATCACGGTTCAGGAGTCTCTTTTCTGTCCCAACATGCTTTAGGCATTTCCCTACAGGGGCCCTTTGGGGAGTTCCTCCAACTTTTTTGGCTGGAGTTCATGTTTTGAGCAAGTGACTTTTGTGTCTCACTAGGTCGTTTGTTAACCCTGCCCCTTTGAACTGTGTTCAGAATTCCTTCTGTGGGTGTTGGGAAGCCACTGAGAGTTGTTTTTTAACTCAGGGGGGATGTAAACCATGGCATGAAGGTACACCGAGGTGTCTGGTGAACCGCCATGATTTAGAGGCGGAGGCAGGGGAGGGAGCCAGCCAGCCCGTGTGCTGGGTGAGTCACTGTGATAGCACAGGGCGTGTTGGAGGGGCCCAGGCTGGAGGCAGAGAGGTCTGTGGACCCAGGCTTCGTGCCTGAGGCCGGCTGACCACTGACTAGGGCCGTGGCAGTGGATGGAGGTACAGGTTTCTGATTCAGAGATTGGACTGGTTGTGAGATGGAAGGAATAGAATGGGGCCTGGGTGCGCTGCCAGCAGAGAAGCCCTCGTGATTAGGGAGGAAGGACTCGGGGCTTAACTTACGTGGCGACTCATTTCATCCCAGTAGCAGCTCTGTGGGGGAGGGACTTTGTCCCATTTTACATCTGAGGAAACTGATGCGCCGAGAATTCCAGAAACCTCCCAAGGCCAGGCAGCCAGTCCTGGACAGAGCTGGGATTCAGCCCCAGGCATTCTTGGCCTCAGAATCTGGGCTCTTCGCTATGACACTGTGCTGCTCCCGAGTCTGTTGGGTCCATGGCTGTGGCCAGTGGAGCTGTCCTGGAGGCAGGGGAGTTTGGATGGGCGGCTCAGAAGAGCCGCATGGGGTGTGTGCCTGCCCAGGAGTGTGTGAGGTTACAGAGACTGGGTGGACCACCAGGAAGAAGGAACACTTGAAGGACATGGAAGGACCAGTCAGAGATGTAGTGGAGACAAGAGAGTGGGGCTGAGAAAGACCCAGGACATGCCGTCCAGCAGGCCCACTGGAACACACTCACCTGCTCAGCCATCAACCCTCTGCTGGGGCAGAGAGGACAGTGAGCAAAGATGTGACTAGATAGTTCGTGCCCAGTTTGGGTCTTCCGGTGGCATCACATAGCCCAGGTAATTCAGATTGTGTGTGTGTGTGTGTGTGCGTGCACGTGCGCGTGTACATGTATTGCTGGAGAGAGATTGTGGGAGCAAGCCCAGCCTGCAGGTGCCCGGCTCCGTTCAGCTCTGCGGTCTCTGGGCCTCATACCAGCGTGGTCACCTCTACCCGCAGCTCGGCAGTGGTCTGGGTGCTAAGGCGCTCTCGAGGCTGGGACCCTCTCCTGGCCTGTTCTCTGTGTTCCTTGCCACCTTTGCTCTCAGAGCGATCCTGGAGGTGTTTTAACCTCCCATTTACTTGTCAGGGAGACAGACCCTGAAGCTCAGGAATTGGGTCCTGGCGAGGAAAGAGTAGACAAGTCGGTGGCCAAACACCGCCTCCCCTGAACGCAGGGCTGTAGCTCGTCCCTGTTGCTGGGGCTGCTGTGTGGGTTGCCAGGGAAGCAGGGACCCCGGGCCCACCTCAGGAAGCAGGGTCTGGAGAGAGGTCTCAGCTGGGCAGTGGTTGTGGATTTGGTCGTGGATCTGGGAGCACGCCTGCCGCACCGAGGTGAGCACCTGGACCCACGGGTTCTCAGGTAGGCTCCCAGCCACGGCCGTTCCGCGGAAGGGCTGTGTGTGCTCCTGCGCTGGAGGAGGGGCCGCCTCCCCGTCCACCAGGCACCTCGGGTGATGGCTTCACTGCCTGCAGCCTGGCCAGGGCCCCTCCTTCACGGGCATGGGGAGGAGTGGGGCCCCCAGGCTGGGCCAGGCTCCTACCCAGCAAGGGAGGAGGAGTGTCTGCATTTTACACTGCCAGGGCCTGCCCAAGGCCGATCAGCCCCGGGGGAGTGGTACCAGCGTCAAAGCCAGGTTAGTAAGGCCAGGGCAGGAGGAGGGTAGGCTGGCACCTGAGCCCACTAGACTAAAGGCCAGCGCTGGGCATCAGAAAGGGGGTGTTCACACGTCTGACCGGGTGTGGGACCTGCCGGGGGCTCTGGCAGACCAAGATGAGAGCAGGAAAGGCCATGCGTGTCCACACTGTTAGAGTTGTTTGGGGATGTTGGGAGTTTGGGGGGGCGGTGCATCCCTGAGCCCTTGATCTTGGGGAAGTTGTGATGGCCCCTCGTGTCCTTCCCCCCATCCTCTCCACTGGATGCCGCTTTTGTGAAGTGTTGGCTGCGGGATGACCTTCACACTTTCTCACAAGAAGGCAGACCGGCAGAGCCAAGGGCTGCTTCTCTGCAGGTGTGTAAATTGAGACTCACTGTCTGTGGCTGGAGTGAGGAGGAGCGGGTCCTTCGTTGGGAACAGCAGCAGCGCTGGGCACGCCGCCCTCTCGCAGGGCTGCTGGCGTGGCCTCCGGGATGTCTGCCCCCCGCAGGCGGAGACTAGGTCCCCCTGTTACAGGCCCTGCCCTGTGTGTGATGTCACGTCTGGTGGTGAGCACGGAGCCGAGTGGAGGCGATGAGCTGGAGGGGAACGCGGCCGTTTTAGATGGGCGGTCAGGGAGGGGCTGCCAGTCAGGGAGGGCAGACGTGAGGAGGGGTCTGGTTGATGGGCAGGGTCCAGTGGCTTCTGGGGGAATAAGTCACAGTCAGCACACACAACTCCTGGGTTCCCGTCAGAAATTGTTCTCTTTGCATCTACTGCACCCTGTGCCTGCTTGTCATCCAGTCCACCTGATGTTTAGTTCCCAAGGGAACCCACGTTTGAGCCCAGGAGCAACCTTGGGATGCTGTGGCATTGCATTACCTGCTGAACGAGTGCCCAGTGTCCAGCCTCGGTCTTCTGATGGGCACTTTGGCGTCTCCTGTGGAGCCGCCACCATAGTGCACCCAGCACTGCCCAGGCCGCTGGCCTCTGCTGCTGTCCTGTACTGGGCGCGGGTGCTCTGCTGAGAACCTCTGTTCTCTGGTGGAGGAGGCGGTGGAGCCTGATGGAGCCCAGGGCCGGCTCTCCCCTGGCCGCTCTGGATTGCCTCTGGAGTGGGCAGCAGATCCGCCTGGCCTGTCCACAGTGCCCAGGCCCCAGGCCAGATTCTGAACAGCTGTTAGCTCCCTAAGGGAGGTGCCGGAGGGGAAGCCCAGAGCCCCTCTCGGGGGAGGAGATGCATCAGGGATGGGAAAGGGTGGGTGGAGGCTCCTGTGGACCACAGGGTGGCTGAGAGCATGGCAGGAACGGTGCCTCCAGCAGGAGGCCGTGCTCGGTTCCAGGTCCTCAGGGAGCATGGGTCAGTGTCAGCTAGGGCGCGGGTGGAGCCCCAGGCTGAGGAGTGGGGCATCTGCCCTGCAGGCATCGGGGAAGGAGTGACGAGATAGGACAATTCAGGGTGGCCGCCTGCCACCCCTCCTCCCGCTGTGGGCTGCTCCTGTGCTCCTACCACGGCCAGAGGAGCTGTCTGAGCCTCTGCTGAGGGGACCGGAGAAGGAAGCCATGGCCTGGGGGCTTAGCTGCTCCCGAGGAGCAGTCCCGGGGGCCGTGGGGACACCTCAGTGAGGCGGCAGGCCCTGGGGCAGGTTTCCTGCCTGTTTCCCCCAGTGACGGTTCTGAAGGCACCAAGACAGGCCAGGTGGTACATGGAGAACAGGCAGCACCCCACAGGGGGCCGGGCGACTGGGGGCCGCGGGGGCCCGGCCGAGGGGGCGCCGAGCTGTGCGCTCCGCACCATCCACGTTTCCATGGCTTGGCTGCGCCCTGCTGTGTTGCCCTCTGCTCTCCTTCCTCGCGCTGTCATGGAGAGGCGGCCCCCTGCCCTGAACTGCTCTGGATGTGTCTTGGGGTGGCATTCTGCCCTCTGCCCTCCTGAAGCCACGGCCTCCCCCCTTGCATGCTCCGGCACAGGCTGGTGGGGTGCTTGTTCAGATCCTCCTGCAACTTGGGGCCGGGGCTCCCATGAGCCGGCATTTCACTGATTGCTGAGCTCAGCCCTGCTGGTCTGGGTGGGCCCTGGCAGCCTCGAGCAGCTGGATCCCCTGGGGAGATGGGCGAGTCCTGACGGTTGTCGACAGCGCCACGTGGGCGCAGCCGAGGTTTGTGGCGGTCACGAGCCAGACGGCTCCTTCTAACGTTTCTCCCCTCTCTGCATGTCTGATCTCGCACCCCGTGTAGGCATGACGAGTATTCTGATGTCAGCCATTGGACTCCCTGTGTGTCTTAGCCGCGCACCCCAGCCCGCCAGCCCTCCCGCCTCCTGTCTGGCCTCTAAAAGTCACAGCTCAGTTAAGAGATTGAGGAAAATGTCCATGAAAGGTAGTTCCTGCTCACAAATACTCTCTGGCCTCTGCTCAGCCTCCTCCGAGTCTCGCTGCCTCTGACTCTCCCGCACTGGCCACTCTCCTCTGACCACCTCGGCCCTTCACCCTCCCCTCACCTGCGGGGCTGGTGATGGGCTCAGTGGCCCGCCCCGCCCTTGACAGCAGGCCTGGCCCCCTGGGAATCCACTCCCCTCTGAGACCCAGAGTTCAGTGCTGTCTTCCCGCTGCAGTGGAAGTGTGAGGGGCCTGTGCTTGAAGATTCAGTGACTCTGTAAACACAGATTCAAGGCAAGACGTGGCTCAGGAGCGGGGGACAACTCTGTCCCTTCCACTGGGGCCACCGTGTGTCTTAGGAAGGGCCAGCCCACGTGGGGCTGCTTCAGAGGGGTCCCCAACGACCATGCCATCCCCGTCACATGGCTGGGGGAGAGGAGGTCTCAGAACTGGTAGGAGGTGCTGTGTGAGGCTCAGGAAGATTTGAGAGGAGGAGCTGCTGTGCAGTGAGCTCTACGCCTGTCATTTCCAAACCTGTGGCTCTGCTGTCGTCACTGGGCAGAGACGTGGCTGCTTCGGGGACCTTCAGGATGGCATGAGCAGGGCTTTGGCCCCGCCAGTCTGGGGTTTGCAGTGCTCGCTCACCAGCTTTGTGATCTCATGCCAGCTTCCCCATTCATGAGCAGAGGGCCTCCTAGCCGGCAGACCGGTTGTGGGAGGAATAGGAAGTAAACACAGGGGCAGTGCCTGGTACATGCTGACAGTTGCTCTGATCGAGTTCACTGCCTGTCTAACCATCGGGGGAGGAGGGAGGCCAGGGAAGGGTGACCTTAAGTGCCCAGCTCCCATCAACACCCCAGCCTTGCTCCCTCTTCTTACTCTGCCTCAGGGCTGGATCTGTGGGCAGTGCCGCTTCCTGAGACACCCGGGGTTTGCTCTGAAAACACACGGCGTTCAGCAGACCGTCTGGCCTTCCTGGGCTCAGATGTCCTTTTGCGGGGTAGGCGGTCACCTGGCTGGCCCTCTTTTGAGAAAAGTGGTTCATGGAGAGTTACCATCAGTTCCGAAAGGCTACCTGGACACGGGAGGTGGGAGAGGAAGGGGTGCTGAGACAGGCCTTGCCGGAGGAGTTCTGGGGTTCAGCTGGAGACTGGCTTGTCACCAAAGTGGCCTTCTAGACCAGGCTTTTCTAGAAGGTCTCTCCCCTCAGAGTAGAGTCCCAGGTACTAGGCTGGCCACCCGGTGCTGCTGGGGATCGTGCTTTGGTCTGGCTTTCTCTCCAATGACCAGAGTCAGGGTCCTCAAGGTCTGTGTCTGGGGATGTGTGTGCATGTGGATGGGAGCACCTGTACATGTGTGGTTGGGGGTGCATGGTCTCCCTTGGCTTCGAGCTGCCTTTCAGGTCATAGCGGCTAATGCCTTTCCAGTGTTCACCCCTTGGGTTGGTGTCAGGTCCACTTTTTAGATGAGTGACCTGAGACTCAGAGGTGACCCAATTCTGTCCCAGCCCAAGAGCCAGACTTCATCCTGACTTCACCCAGCCCCGACCCCTCTGCTCCCTCCAGCCTGTCACTGGGCCGTCTCTGGTCTAGAGGGGGCTCCCGCTGTTGAGCCCTTAGACTTCTAAGTCTCTGCAGCCACACGCTGATGGCTGGGAGCTTGGGCTTATGCCAGAGCCCCTCTGGTCTCAGAGGCTGGGACCAGGAGCTCCCCTGGACTTGAGGAAGGCAGGCCTCCTGGCGTCACCCTCCCAAACTGGGCTGGTCTCCCAGGCCCTCCCTCTCCTCCTGCTTTGCCAGCACTCTGACTCTGCTGATTGACTCTCTAGCTGCAGGGGGGAGGGGGGAGGGGGTGCTTGTCCTTGGGGTGGGGCCTGTTCGGTGCAGGGCCTCCCCTTCCCAGTTTCATGTCCAGGCGCACACCTCCCAGGGGTAGGAGATTTCGAGAGGAGGAGGCGGGGGGATAGAGCTGTGGGCAGCTGAGAAATCGAGGAGGCGGGTCACGGACACCCTGGAGTCCAGGGACAAGCCCAAGAACCCCGTGGTTGGCTGGGGCTGTGTGGCCGTTCTCTGCGGTCAGTGTGCACGCAGCTGTCCCCACAGGGTAGGCATGCACCATACACGTGACTCAGGACACTTACTTCTCTTACCCAGACTTTCTTCTGAGAATAACGAAAGTTGAGTAAAATAATCTGGCCAGAACACACTCCAGAGCATTTGTGTAGAAGCTACTCTTTTACCCTCCTGCATGTCCTCTGAAGCCTGGGTCTGGGTTCCTGAGTGAAGGTGTGCGGGGCCGTGGCTGAGGCCCTGCCTGTGGCTCTTGAAGGCCATGGCCAGCTGCTGTCTCTGCTTCTCTCCCTCCAGGGCTCCCGGGGCTGCCCCCCACCCGCCCCGCCCCCGGTGGAGCTCTGGACTGTTCTGCGCCTGGCCTGTTCTCTCCTCTCCTGCACACTAACCTTCCCATCTGAGCCATCCTAACCTCCCTCCCAGCAGCTTGGACTGCTCCCTGTCCTCCTCTCTCATCCCAGCGTCTCCAGTTTGTTCTCCTCAGGACACCATTTATGTTCTTCTCTCTCCTAGGAGGGCCCCCAAAGCCAGAGCCAGAGCAGGTGATCAGAAACTACACCGAAGAGCTGAAGACGGCCCCAGAGGAGGTGCGTGTCACGGGCCGCGCTGCTTTTGCTTTTGTTTGGTAATGGAGTGGCTCAGACGAGGCCTCCAGCCTGTCCTCTGCCAGAAGGTGCCTCATCCATAGACCAGTTCTGCCCCCCCCTGGCTGTGGGGAGGGCCGGCTGGGGTTCCTGCTTTTAACCCCATCGCGGCTTCACCTGACCCGGCTCTGCTGAGTCTCATTTCGGGGCTGTGATGCCACTGTTCTCCAGTTTGAATGAAGAGCCCTGGAGAGTCCTGAGGGGTGGATTCAGAGCTGAGGACTCTCTGGCCACCTTCTGCAAGTTGAGAACACAGGAAGCATCTGGTTGGTAAAGGTTTAGACAGAGACTTGCAAGTCCTTCTCACCTTGGGCCTCCCCTTCAGCCCGCCCCCTTCACAGGAGTCTGTCTGTCCATCTCTCTGCTCTTGTGCTCACCTGACACAGCTGGGCTGTTTGGCCCCTGGCTGCCTCCCCGCCAGCTGCTGATCACACAGCCAACATGTGGCCATGATGGTTTAGTATCCGCTGCTCATACCACCTGGCTGTTGAGATGGCCCCAGACTTTTCTTGAACCAGGGAGGGCTTCCTGGAGGTGGAGGCATCTTTTACTGGGCAGAAAGCCCACAGGAGTCTAAGCAGGAGGGTCACTTCTGCTTACCGTGATGTGTAAGACAAAGCCTAACCCCCGATGATGGCCTTCAGGGCCTCCCAGGACCTGGTCTCCTCCCCTTCGGTCTCCTGCCCCCAGGTCAGCCCTGTCCTGCAGGTGCACCACCCCCCAGCAGAAGCGCTGGCTCCTGCTTCAGAAGGCTCTCCTCTCTCCTGCCTGCCTGTTGCCGTGCATGTGCTTCTGACAGGTTCCCTTTCCCCTGGAAAGCCCAGCGCTGCGGGCCCCTCCCGTCCTTTCCTCTCTGCCGGGCTCTTCTGCCGCCCTCTCGGCCCGGGCTTCAGGCATCACAGCAGCCCCCAGACTTGGTGCTGCCTGCCATCCCCTCCTCTGAGGGTGCAGACAGCAGTGACCCCTCGGTGCTCCCAGCCTCCAGCACGGAGAGCTGTGGGGCTGACTTAGGTTGGGGTCCACCTTTTCCGTAGACGACGGCCGGTCCTCAGGACTCGCTCCTGTGGCGCAGGGGCCGTGGTGAGCCTCCCCATGTGGGGTCTCCCTCCAGGACTGCATCATCTGTATGGAGAAGCTGTCTGTGGTGTCTGGGTACAGCGATGTGACTGACAGCAAGACCATCGGGCCCATGGCCGTGGGCCGCTTGGCCAAGTGCAGCCACACCTTCCACCTGCTCTGCCTGCTGGCCATGTACTGCAATGGGAACAAGGTACCCATGGCCCCCAGGCCGGGAGGGCTCGGGGTCACCTGCCGGCAGCCCGTCCCAGTTGCGCTGCACCTGAGCAGGTGACTGGGGCTGCCCTGTGAGGGGCCCAGGGCCCGCTCAGAGACCGCCTTGAGATGTCCACAGTCCTGGCCCTGCAGCGGGAGGGGACTGGGGGTGGCAGGTGATGCTGGCTGCCCTGCCTTTGGTGTAATTTAGCTAGAGTGGACAGAGGTCGGGGAGCAGAGAGAGCCAAGGCCAGTGGGGGGCCTTCATGCCTGGGCTGTCTTCGCTGTGCCGTGTCCCTCAGCCACACGTACTGGCCAGGGCGCCAGCGTCAGCAGTCCTTCCGTCACAGGGTTTTCTGTTCCATTTTAAATATGACTCAACTGTGTAGACTTTGGTTCATAAACCTAATTTTTCTACCTGATGCCAGTCTCTTGGTACTTTGTCCCTTTAATGAAAATTGCTTAATGAGTTTCTGGGGTAAAACTCTTTCCAAGGAAGTTGCCAAAATTGAGTTTCTTTGCAAGGAGTCTGCCTGGGAGCTGGGCGACGTGCCCGGGACCCACTGGTGACCAAGGAACCAAACCTGTGTCCCTGCAGGTCTCTTTCCCATCTAGTCAGCAGGGTGGCTGGCCTGGGTGCCCTCTTGGGGCCACCGGCTCAGTCCACGACCTTCTGCCCTGTCCCAGGATGGAAGCTTGCAGTGTCCCTCCTGCAAAACAATCTACGGGGAGAAGACTGGGACCCAGCCCCGAGGGAAGATGGAGGTGTTCACGTTTCAGATGTCCCTCCCCGGCCACGAGGACTGCGGGACGATCCTCATAGTCTACAACATTCCCCATGGCATTCAGGTGAGGGGCACGGCACAAGAGGAGCCTCCTTGGATCTTTCTGGAATCGGCCTCTGAGGCTCTTCCTGTCCCACTCTGTCCTCCGGGGTCACTGAAGGTGTCCGCCTGCCCAGTCAGGCTCCCAGCAATCAGGAGGCACTCGTGCTGGGGGCTCCAGCCAGCCCTTAGAGTTGTGGAAGCAAAGAGATGGCCCCTGCCTTTTCTTGAACCAGAGAGGGCTTCCTGGAGGTGGAGGCATCTTAGCTGGACTTCTGCTAGGCAGAAGGCTCACAGGAGTCTAAGCAGGAGGAACAAGCACTTCTGTTCGGCTAGCTGGCTGGCTGGGGAGCCCGCAAGCAGGAACCCTCCCAAGGGGCAGAGCGCAGGGCCGAGAGCTGCCTGCAGTGAGGCTTGACCACTCTTGAGGGACCAGCTCAGTGGGCTGATCCAGACCTGTGTGGGGTGTGTAGGAGTAGGAACCTCAGCTGCAGGTCCCAGTGGAGACCCAGACGAGAGTCAGGGCTCCTTAGGTTTCTGCCTTGGACTGGGGGCTCTCAGCGTGCCCCCAGAGCCTCACTGGCTTGAGAAGATACAGGGTGACGGAGACCAGGAGGACAGGATGTCCCTTGATTTTGTCCAATTACATGCTTTCCCCTGGTTGTCCTCCAAAGTGACGTTGCGCTCAAAGTGAAACTGGGAAAATTAGAAACATCTAGACAGCAGTAGAGCCACAGAGCAGGTGGGGAATTTGGAGTTGTACGTGGTGTCACCATGGGCTGAGGGCAGAGCAGGGGCTGTGCCTGCTCCAGCCCGCGCCCTCTGTCTAGCCTGCTGCCATGGTCTCAGGGGCCCTGCTCCGGAGGGAGCCGTGGAGGCGCTGTGCACCCCAGTGATGGTGAAGCAGGCCCTGCCGTCCAGTCCAGAAAGCCCTGTGCCCAGAGGGTTGCCAGCAAAGTAGGAGCTTCCGGCCTGACCTCTGACAGGTCCGGCTTCCTCAGGGACATGGAGGCTGTTAGGGTGTGTGGCCCCTCAGAGCAGCGTGGGTTCGGGGAGGGCAGGCATGGGCAGGCCGTGTGCATGGTGGGTCTTTCGAGAGAGAGATGAGACAGCAGTTGATCTGGTCACTCCGTGCAGGAAGAGCCCCGCCTGGAAGGTGACGGGGTGAGGCCGGGGACAGGGGCCCTGTCCCAGCAGCTCTGCAGCCCGCGAGCCCCTTGGCTCCCGCTCTCACCGCCTGTGTTCCTCCTGCAGGGCCCTGAGCACCCCAACCCTGGAAAGCCCTTCACTGCCAGAGGGTTTCCCCGCCAGTGCTACCTTCCCGACAACGCCCAGGGCCGCAAGGTAAAGGCCCGGCTGCCACCCGGGAAGCAGCCTCCATCCTCCTCCCCACAGCTGGCCAGTCCCTGAGCGGCGGGTGGCTGTCGGGCTGGGAGGGCCGGCTTGGTGCCGTCCCGGCCCTGCCTCTGCCCACCTTACTGCGACAGGAGTGGGGATGAAGCCTGTGAGCTGGTAGGGTGTGGGCTGCCCCTTCCTGGGGACCTGCCACAGGTTAGGCGTCCGGGTATGGGGCATCCAGGCAGAGACGACCTGACCACAGATGCTCTTCAGGGAGGACAGGGGTCTTCCTGTGGTCTAGTGTGATGGGATGGGGCGGAACCGGGTCGCTTCACCCTGGGTGATGGGGGTGGCCTGTGGAGCCGCCTCTGCACTGAGCCCTAACTTGGGCCTTCCCAGCTCAGAGAAGGGGCTTCCCAGGTGCCTCAGCGGCAGAGAATCTGCCTGCTAATGCAGGAGACACGGGTTCGATCCCTGGGTCAGGAAAATCTCCTAGAGAAGGAAGTGGCGCCCCTTTCCAATATTCTTGCTTGGAAATCTCATGGACAGAGGAGCCTGGGGGCCTACTGTCTGTGGGTTCACAAAGAGTCAGACACGACCAAACAGCTGTGAGAAGGCTGGGGAAGAGCATTCCAGGCAGACAGAACAGCCAGGGTGGTGACTTTGGGGTGGTGATAGCCCCAAGGGTGCGAAGAGGCTGAGGGAGGTGAGGGGGGTGTCAGGAGTATCTGCCTTCCTGGCCAGCCCCTGCAGCCAGGGTTTGTTCTGAGCACTCCTTCACTGCCTTCTCCTTGCCCCCTTCCCCGCCGCTCCTCCCCCTCATCATACCCTTCCCTCCCCCTTCCTCATCCCCTCCCCCACCATGCCCTCCCCTCCCCGTCTATCCCCTCTCCTGGGGCAGGTCCTGGAGCTGCTGAAGGTGGCCTGGAAGAGGCGCCTTATCTTCACAGTAGGGACGTCCAGCACCACCGGGGAGACGGACACGGTGGTGTGGAACGAGATCCACCACAAGACCGAGATGGACCGCAACGTGACAGGCCACGGCTACCCCGACCCCAACTACCTGCAGAACGTGCTGGCCGAGCTGGCCGCCCAGGGGGTGACCGAGGACTGCCTGGAGCAGCAGTGACCCTCGGCCTGGCTGCCCCGGCTTCGCCCACCACGACGGCAGGCGGGAAGGTGCCTTTCCTCAGAGGCTGGGACGTTTGTCGGGGATGCCAGCGGGCTCCCCATGCCCGCCTGTCCCCTTCTCTGTGCCCGCCAGGCCTGGGTCTCCGTGGGAACCGGGCGAGCCTGGGAGTCATGTGTGTGGGGGCTTCGGATGCCGCTACCTCAGTGTGTGGGCCCCTCCGTCCTCGGCGGGCTGTGTGGGGCCCTCAGTGTCCGGGGTGACGAGAGGCTGCCTGCTGTGTGTGCCACCGGGGCAGGCCTGGGTTTGGTCAGCTTCTCATACCTCAGATGTTCTGTTTGCAATAAACGCCCTAAAGCCAAAGCCTGTGGGCCCTGTGGGTTGAGAGAGAGAGAGAGAGAGAGAGAGAGAGAGAGAGAGAGAGAGGAGAGAGTGTGTGTGTGTGTGTGTGTGTGAGTGAAGGTCGGCTGTGTGTGTGTGTGTGTGTGTGTGTGTGTGTGTGTGTGTGTGTGAAGGTTGGCTGTGTGTGTGTGTGAAGGTCGGCTGTATGAAGGCCAGCCCACACATGTCTTGCTGCATCAGAGAAGGAATGGACCTGACAGGCTTCCTGTCCAACCCTTTGTTTCTCCCTAAATGAGACTCAGGCTGCTGGGAGGCCAGGAGCTGGGCGCTGACCCTAGCAGCTCCCCTGGCCCCACCCCAGTTCGTGCAGTCGACCTTCAGCAGCCCTGCCAGGGTGCCCCCCCTCCCCCGCCAGCTCCTCCCATTTACTTCCCTGGGGGTTCTGACTTTCTCAGTGCTGCTCCTATGGGGGTATGTACCGCTGTGTGCACTTCACAGATGAGGAAACGGAGGCTCGAGGGTACAGTAGTGCAGCTGGGACTGAATCCCAGCCAGGTCTGGTCTGACCCCACCCTGAAGGTTTCCATTCTTCCCAGTCTTCTTAGAAATAGGATCCAATATTCCTAGGCTTCCTGAGGGCGAGGGGGTGTGGGGGTGGGGATGTGTGCTTGTGGCCTTCACAAGCCCTTTTCTCTCTAAGAAAGAAACTTAAATTCTGTTTTATGATTTGTTGTTACAAAGATCAGTGTATGTTAGAGCATTTACTTTCACTCAGAAGTTCCTTTTTTCCCCTTCTGATTGTGAAAAGAAACTAAGGCAGCTTTGTGAGCCCCTGGCATCGTGCCCCCTGCCCTGTGGAGAAGTTGGTCTGGGGAGGGCCAGGAGGCCCCCATGGAGAAGCTGGACCCCAACTGTGTTAGGTTCCACAGTGAGACTCGCCCTAGTGCTCCCAGGGCAGAGGAGTTGTGTGGGTACCTGAGTGTCACCCCCTCACCCTCGGCTCCCACCCTCACTGTGCAGTGAGAGAACAGAACAAAATGTTTGCACATCTTATGCCTGATCAGAGTCTTGTATCCACAGTATATCAAGAACTGTCACAACAATAAAAAAAAATCTTCAATTTAAAAAAAATGGGCAAAGGACATGAACACACATTTCTCTGAAAAAGCTATACAGATGGCTGACAAGCAATGTCATTAGGGAAATGCAAATCAAAACCACAAAGTGATACCGCTTCATACCCATTAGGGTGGTTATTATAAAAAAATATATAGGAAATAAATATTGGTGAGGATGTAGAGAGATCGGAACTCTTGTCCACTGCTTGTGGGAATGTAAAAATGCAGCTGCTTTGGAAAGCTGGTGACCAGTGCCACAAAAAGCAGTTACCATATGACTCAGCAGTTAAATTGCTAGATAAATATCAGAGAACTGGAAACACGGCCACGGTAGCGTTCATCATAGCCAAGAAGGGGGGACGACCCAAATAGCCAAAAGCCGATGAATGGATGAACAGAATATGATCTGCTCATGCAATGGGATGCTATCCAGTTAGAAAAAAGAATGAAACAGTAACACAGCATGGATGAGCCTTAACATTATATCAAGTGAGAGAAGCCAGGCAGAAAATGACATATTGTGTGATTCCATTTATATGAAATATCCAGAAAATGCAAATCCACTGAGACAAAAAGTACATCAGTGGTTGTCAGGGGGGAAGGGGAATGGGAAGTGACTGTATTAATGGGTACAGTGTTTCTTTTTGAGGTGATAAAGTTCTAGAATCTGGAGATTTATGGCAATGAAGTTTAAAGGGAAGTCTACAGGGCTTATGTTATATGGAAAGCATAAGCTTTTCTGATAAAAGAGTTTGAGCAACGCCTGCCTGCCCCTCCCTTCTTCCTAGCTTGAGTGAGAACATGATGCCTGGGGCCACAGCAGTCATCTTGCGGCAACGAGAAAAACGCCGAGAGGGAGTTCCCTGGTTGCCTAATGGTTAGGACTCTGTGCTTTTACTGCCCTGGCCGGGGGTCAGTCCCTGGTCGGGAACGGTAATTGTGCAAGCTGTAAGGTATGGCAAAAAAAAAAAGGTCAAGAGAATCTGAGAGACATGGACCCTAATGTCATTTCACGAAACCCATACCAGCAGCCATCCTTCTCCAGAATTCCCGTAAATGAAAAACCCTTCTTGTTTAAAACAAAAACAACCTCCCCCAAAAAAAACCCCACCAAAACAAAACTCCCTAAACTGTACATTTTAAAGGGACATCTTAGGTTATGTGAATTATATCTTAATTTAAAAAATATAGGGAATTATCTGGAGAAGGAAATGGCAACCCACTCCAGTGTTCTTGCCCGTGGACGGAGGAGCCTGGGGGGCTGTGGTCCATGGGGTCGCAAAGAGTTGGATACGACTGAGCGACTAACCCACTGTAGGGAATTCCCTGGTGGTCCGGTGGTTAGGACTTAGCACTTCCACTGCCTGCGTTCAATCCCTAGGCAGGGAACTAAAATTCCTCAAGCTGAGTAGTGTGGCCAAAAAAATTAATGAAAAATTTTAAAAGAATTTAAAAAAGAAAAAAAAAAATGTATTAGTGAGAACCCAAAGGAGTGATGTAAGCAGGCCCTCGCCAGCTCTAGGATCAAAGGAACTAAGGGAGGATGTGGCCTTGTGAAGGGAGGGCAGGACCACTGGGCCCTGAGGAGCTAGAGCTGCCCCCTTCCTTCCCGGGGTGGGGATGGAAGGCCAGAGGGAGGCTCCTGGTACGAGGGGTGCAGGAATCTCTGGCATGTGGCCCTCCTCCCCACTCCTCCCCAAGGCTGGGGGTCTGGGTGGGACCCAAACTCTGACACGGGCCTCTGGGGTGACCTGGCCGGCATCCCGGGGGTCCAGGGGCCTCTCTCAGCCCCGGCCTGCCCCTGCCCAGAGCCCTGCCCAGCCTCCTCCCTGGGGTGGGCTGGGAGGCGGAGTGGGGGTGCTTCTACATTTTCAGGTCTTTCCAGCCCTTGGCCAGCGGGGCAGCCTGACTAACCAGCTCCTCCAGGCCCACACTGTGTGGGGAGGGGCGCGGCCCGAGGCGGCCAGACCGGCCCCAGGCTGTGGGTGTGGAAGCAGGCCGGTGGGCTGCAGGCGTGCTGCAGGCCGTCATGGGGCTCCCCGCCAGGCAGCCTCGCCCCTGGCTGCTGCTCTTGGTGGTGCTGGGCTGGCCCCAGCCCTGCCTCAGCCTGGGTAAGTGGGGGTCCCAGGAGGGGTGCACCCCGCCAGACCCTAGGGGCTGGGGCACCTGCTGGAGTGATTAGACCTGGGAGCACCCCCCAGCCCCCAGCAACCGGGAGAGGCAGCCCCAGGGGCAGTGGGCCCTGGACCCTCAAGCCTGTCTCCATGGCCCCAGAGCTCATCCCCTACACGCCGCGGATAACCGCCTGGGACCTGGAAGGGAAGGTCACGGCCACCACGTTTTCCCTGGAGCAGCCGCGCTGTGTGCTGGACGGGCACTCTGGTGCCGCCGACACCATCTGGCTGGTGGTGGCCTTCAGCAACGGTAGGTCCCGGTGCAGGTCTGGGGCCTGGGGTGATGGGTGGGTCTGAGGACAGCTCCAGGGCCCTGGGAGCCCCTCTCAACTGGGTGTGAATGGGGAGTTCGGGCTTTATCCTGCGGGGGATCTGAGAGGTGACACCTGATTTGTGTCTGGAGGGGCCCTCTGAGCTTTGAGGCGTGGAGGGCGCGGGCTATGGAGTGGACGGCCTGTCTCCTCCTGCGCTCCGGCCCCAGCTGTCTGTGCCTCCCTTCTGCAGCCTCCAGGGTCTTCCAGAACCCCCAGACACTGGCTGAGATCCCAGCCTCCCCACGGCTGCTGACCGACGGCCACTACATGACGCTGCCCCTGACCATGGGCCAGCTGCCCTGTGAGGACCCTGCGGGCGGCAGCAGGCGCGCCCCGGTGCTTAGGGTGGGCAATGACGCCGGCTGCCTTGCTGACCTCCATCAGCCTCGCTACTGCAACGCCCCGCTCCCGGGCCCAGGACCTTACAGGTGAGTCGCCTGACCTGAAACCTGGAAGGGAGCTGTACTGGGCGAGGGAGGGTGGGGGTGGGGTTCTGGGACCAGGGCTGCCCCCCAGCCCCCAACCCCCACCCCTGCCCCCGTCTCCGCCCAAGCCTCTGTCCTGGCCCCGCCCCTTCCTGGCTGCAGGCCGAGCAAGCCCCTCCCCTTCTCCAGCCTTGGTTTCTTCCTGTGTGGGCTCCGACCTCCTGGAGGGGCAGGTGGCCTCCACGAGGTGGGCATCACAGAGCCGGTGGGGGATGTGAAGGGATCTGCAGGCCCCAGCTTGGGGTGGGAGGGGAATGCTGCAGACCGCCCCTTCCACAGGTGGGTCGGGCAGGAAAGTCAGCTTGGGGCTGAGGATGGAACCGGGGTGGGAGAGCAGGGGTCCAGGGAGCGAGGGGACAAGGCCAGACATCCTCAGGGTGACCGAGTGCAGCTGGGGGAACCGGCAGGGGCCACAGGGACGGCGGGGCAGGGTGTAGCCGCCTTCCACGCCCGCACCCCTCACCCTCTCACCCACTGGCCACTCCTGCGCGTCCTCGCGGCCGCCAGAGCCGGCTCCCGTCAATCCAGGTGCCGGCCTGCCTGGATCCCAGAGCTCCCCACCCCGAACAAAGATACAACTCGAGTTCTGTGCGGTGCCCTCGGAACTCAGCCTGCCCGCTCCCCTGATCCTGGTCTCTGAGCACGCCCTGAGCACACCTCTCCCTCCTGGCCTTTGCCTGGGGTGCCTGCCCCTATCGGGGGGCCTTCCAAGACCTCACAGACTCCACACAGCCAGCAGTTCTCCTCTGGAGAACAGGGATTGAGGCCTCATGCACCCTTGTGAGCCACCCTGAGGCCCCCTGTATGCGGCATTTAGTCACAGGGACCCCTGAACCAGAGTGTCTGAAGAGCGGCTGTTCAGACAGTTGAGGGCTGGTGGCAGAGATTGCTGTGGCCAGAGAGGTCTCGGGGTACTTAGCACAGGGTCTCCCCTCCTCTGAACATGAAAGACCCACAGCCTGGCCATCAAGAGCTGCCTGGGGCCTGGCCGAGGCAGGGGCCTTGCCCAGAGCAGTCGAGGTGCGGAGCCTCACCCATGGTCCTCTTCCCCAGGGTGAAATTCCTGCTGATGAACTCCAGCGGCTCACCCCAGGCCGAGACGAGGTGGTCTGACCCCATCACTCTCCACCAAGGTAGCGCGGAGGGCCGGGCGCTCCAGCTGCAGTGTGCCCTGTGGACCGGCCAACCTCGGCACCCTGGTCATGCTCATCCGGCCCCTTCCCCGGCTGCCATGGGACAGGGGCCCCCGAGTCAGAATCCAAGTCCAGGCCACCCCCTAAATAGAACCTCCCATTAGAGGGTGGGGTACTGGGTCAGCCCCATGGGCAGAGACACTGGCTCTGTCCACCCCAAAATATTTGCCAACCCTCGGATGCCCTAGGCTGTAGCCCCACCATGGACAGAAATAGTATGCCCCTCTTTCAGGGAGCCAACCCCGTGCCGGGTGGAGGAGAGGGGCCAGGGCAAGAAGGAGGCTGGGCCGTGGTCCTGGGAAGCCTGCTCTCAGCAGAGCGCCAAGGATCAGCAGTTCAGCAGACCAAGAAAACTGCATGTCAAAGGCTGAGTGTCCCATGAGGGGGTGCCTGGGAGACAGGCTGAAGAGGCTGGGGTGGGGGTGGGGGGACCTTGTCACGTGAAGGCCTTGGATGCCAGGCTCCAGGGGGCAGGGCAGCACCCAGTCAGTCCTGAACTCTGCTGCTGCCCTGCCTGCCGCAGGTGGTGGGAACAGTCGGTAGGTGAGACCAAGGCAGAGGCTGGCGTGACGGGTGGTCCGGGCTGGCAGAGCACAAGTGCCCCAGTGGTGAGGGACAGATGAGCGGGCTCAGGAGGCTGGCTGGGGACATGAGGCAGTCAGCATGGTGGGGAGGTGACCGCCCTGGGGTCCGAGGGCAGCCTCTGAAAGCTGCTGTGTGTGCAGGGAAGTCCCCGGGCTCCATCGACACATGGCCGGGGCGGCGGAGTGGAGACATGATCGTTATCACCTCCATCCTGTCTTCTCTGGCTGGCCTCCTGCTCCTGGCCTTCCTGGCAGCCTCCAGCGTGCGCTTGTGAGTGGCGACCCCCAGACGGCCCCTCGCCCACCCGGAGCCCCCGCTCTCTCTCTGGCCCAGCACCTTCTGGAAGCCCTTCGGGAGCCCTGTGATTTTGAGTTGGGTGGTGCCCCTTCCAGCGATGTGCAGGGGATTTCTGCCCTGAATGTCTCTCGTCTAGGAGCTCAGGGAGGTGGTCCAGCAGGTCCTCTGATGACAGGTTCATAGACGGGGCCACCTCGCTCTGCCTGCATCCTTTTCCCTGACCGGCTTTCTCTCCAGTGAGCCCTTGGTTGTTTCAATGAACTGATATCCAGGGAGCCAGGGTGGCCACCTGGAGGAGGCAGGCCTCCAGCTGGCCCTCCCAGGGAGGAAAGGGACATCAGAGACTGCAGGAGGAGGGCTGTGGGAACTCGGCAGCCCGCTCCACCCAGCAGGGACACAGCCTGTCTCCCTATCCCTGTCCAGCTCCAGCCTGTGGTGGCCGGAGGAGGCCCCGGAGCAGCTGCGGATCGGCTCCTTCATGGGGAAGCGCTACATGACCCACCACATCCCGCCTAGCGAGGCGGCCACCCTGCCGGTGGGCTGCGAGCCCAGCCTGGAACGCTTCCCCAGCCTCAGCCCCTAGCTCAGCCCACCTGGCTGGGGCTGGGGCAGTGGGGGCCTGGGGGGTGAGTGCACATGTATGTGCATGTGTGTGTATGTGTGTGTGTCCCGCATTGCACCTCCGGCCCTGCCTGAAATCCCACCGCTAGCAGCCCTGCCTTGGGCTTTCCCATTTCCCCCGCCTCCAGGCTGTTGGGGGAGGGTTGTGGTCAGGCCGGGCATCCAGCCCCCAATGCCATCTGCCTCGAGCGAGGCTGGAGGTCATGTGGACACACTGCCTGAAAGGAGGCTTCCAGGCCCCAGGAGGAGGACTTCAGTGGGGCTGGGCTGGGCTGAGCCCATCATGGGGTACGTGAGGCCTCCGTCTGTCCCTCTGTCCTATCCACCGGCGGCCGGGGCTGCAGTGAGGCCTTCGGAGGTGCCTCCATCGTCCCTGGACATGGGCCACCTCTCTGAGGGTGGCCCTCACTGGCTGAAAGGTCAGACAGTATAGATCGCTGTGACGATCCGGCTACCACTTATAACCTCCTTGCACATGCAGATAGCACACACACTCATGCACTCACTCCCATTCCACAAGCATTTATTGAGCGCCTGCTGCATGCCACACACACAGTGTTAGACATGGGCCCCCACGCAGGGCCCGCCGCTGTTCTTGGGGCACTCACTCACTGCTCTGAGCCTCAGATGACCATGTGTCCTGATGCGACCTGCTACTCTTGGGGGGGCTATCACCCCCTCGGACTGTCACGCACCCTCGGGCTCACACTCCTGAGACGATCTTCCCCGATGGACTCTCCGGTCCGGTAGCCAGCCAGCCCTTCATCACCCAGGAGGAGCTACTTTATCCAGCGTCCATCCGCCAGCAAGGCCGGTGATTCCCACCGTGGACACAAGGGGGCGCCGTGGCGCCGCGGCTGCCGAGTCCCGCGCGTGCGCACGTCTGTGCACAGCTGAGCGTCCCGCCGCTGGACCCGACGTCTCACAGCGGCCGCCACGCAGCTGGGTCTCTGGAGGTCACGGCTCCAGTTTCCACCTCAGCCAAGCCAGAGGATGAGCAGTCACACTGTCGTTTGAGGATCAACGGTGTGTCGTCCAACTGCACAGCTGTCATCGTTTTCTGGATGGAAAAACAGGCTCAGTGATTTGCGCACGATCCACTGTCCCCGCACCCCGTGTCCCCCCGCCGCTCCCAGGCCCTTCTAAGCCTGACCGTGGCTCCCAGCATACAGGCCGCCCCGAGGAGGGCGCCAAGCGAGGAACTCTACCCCCGCTCCCCTGACTTTGAAGATGAATAAATGCAGTCTGGCTCCTCCATCCCAGTGGTGCCCGCGCTGGATCTGGAAGAGGAGCGGTTATACGCGTTGCCCAGCCTGGCTCCGCCCTGTGCAGCCTGCCCCCTGCACCAGCTCGGGCGCTGCTCCGAGCCTGTCTTCTTGTTTGCTAACCCTAACTATGCATCAGGATGCCCCCATCTCCTGATGGCCCCAGGGAAATCTACCCCCAATTGGGCCAGGAAACCCACCACTAACGCAGGTGGATTTAGCAGTACTCCTTCCCAGGTAAACGCTTCATGGGAGTTTGTTTTCAAAACCCATGCACCCCTGGTCCCCGTGGTCTGTCTCCCACCCTGCCTGCATCCTCATCAGCCACAAGACCTGCTCTCGGTGCAGTTGGGAGCTCAGGCCCTGGTGTCCTGGGTGACACCTGGCCATGAGAACCAGCCCCATCAGACTGCTACTTTTGGAATTCTGCTGCCGTAGAGCCCAGGATCCTCTTGGATTCTTGGAATTGTTGTTTAGTCGTTCAGTTGTGTCTGACTCTTTGCAACTCCATGGACTATAGCCCGCTAGGCTCCTCCGTCCATGGGATTCTCCAGGCAAGAATACTAGAGTGGGTTGCCGTTTCCCTCTCCAGGGGATCTTCCCGACCCAGGGATTGAATCCGTGTCTCCTGCTTTGGCAGCCGATTCTTCGCTTCCAAGCCATCTGAGGCTCATTCTTAGAATTGGAAAAGGGTTAAAAGTTGGGCCTGCGCCATGCCAGCTATCGCCAGTGGAGCCCAACTCCCATGGTCCCTCCCAGTCCTGGCCCCAATATCAGACAACAAGGCCCTTAAGACCCAGGATGCCTGGCTTGGGGCCTGCCCAGGAAAGAAGTGATAGTGAGAAAGAGGGATCCACTGGTGTTTGCTGAGTGAAAAGATGAACAAACCTGCCCAAAGATGGAGGATCAGCCAGGAGCAGGAATTGCCTCTGGCTCTTGCATGTCCTGGGGTCCTTTGGTGGCTGGTTAGTGCCAGAATCTTGGTGGATTCAGAGTCCTGTGATGTCCCATGCATCCCTGGGGCCGCCACTCACTTCCAAACAGCATCTCTGAGCCCCTCTGAGGAGCTGCTCTCATCGAGGCCACTTGGGGCTTGACTGTGGAGACGACCTCTAAACAGACATTGCAACGTGGTGAGTGAAGACTGGGCAGGGGAGGCAACTGACCCCACCTGATGGTCAAGGGGACTAACTAGGGTGAGACGCTTCTCAGGAGGCAAATGGAAGTCAAGACAGAGGAAAGGAGGAGGGAAGGAGAAAGAGTGGAACACGGGGAGATCAGGTGTAAATAGTCGTGCCTTGTGGTGGCGCAGGTGGTTCCTGGGGCCACGGCAGCAGGGCCGGGGGGCCGGGAGCCCGGTAAGAGGGAGGGTGACCTGGTCTTCCAGGCATATGGAATCAGCCCTGAGCCAGAGCAGACGAAGCAGGTTGGAGAGGAAGAGGTGGATTCTAGAAATATCTGGGAGGTGATTAGAGGAATCCGGCACTTCTTAGACATGCGAGACAAGCCATAAGGGAGAGATGTGCTTGGGTATCTTTCCTTCATTAAAAAAAAAAAAATTATTTATCTGGCTGTGTCAGGTCTTAGTTGTGGCTTAGTTGCCCCACGGCATGTGGAATCTTACTTAGTTCCTCAACCAGGGTTCAAACCCATGTCCCCCTGCATTAGAAGGAAGATTCTTTTTTTTTTAATCTTTCTTTTTTAATTTTTAAATTATGAAAATATAGTAACACATTTACAGGAGGCATGGAAAATACAGAACAAAGTTACTTATAGTTCCACTTAATTACAGTTGTTTTAGGTAGATAAATTAAGATATTTAGTTGGAATGTCAATATCAAACTCTCAGAAATTAATAGAATGAAAGTACAAAGAAGCAGAAGCATATAGCAGACCTGAAAAGCACTGTGAACCAATTCGACATAATTAAAGTTTATACAAGAAGGCAGATTCTTAACCACTGGACCACCAGGGAAGTCCCTCCTGTGCCCAGGTTTCTGATCTGGGGATGGGTATGAATGCAGAATGGGGCCCCTTATGTTCTGAAAATGGACCTGTCACCCCAGCCTTAGAGCTGATCCCCAGAAAAAGGGGGTTCTGGGAACGTCATTGTAGGTGAGTGAATCCACAAGAACACTAACAAATTGTTTGTATTTTACAAAGATGGAAGCCAGGCCTGGTCAGCAGAAGGCCACCCAGTGAGCCTACTGGGCTGTGGGCGTGCTGTCCTAGAGCAGGCGTGCCCGGGCATCACGGAGTCCACACGGAGTTGGGGCCGCGGGCCCGGTCATCACCAGCCCAGGCACCGTCACGCTAGGCCCTGGGGATCTGTGCTGGGGCCTTCTGCCTCAGAGTCACGCTCGAGAGGTCACCAGCTAGACCGCGAGGGCCAGCTCGTGACAGCCTGGAGCAGGGCGCCTGGTGAGAACCGCATTGTGGAGAATCTCTTTATTAAATGATGTTTTCCATTTTCTCCAGGGCTGTACTTGGGGAAGTACCTCCAAATCCATTGGCCCATCACATAATGGCTCAGTGGTTAAAAACAAGTTCATTGTAAAGAAGGAAAAAACAGCAGTGATTGTGGGGGCAATGACTCACAGATGACTCATTGGGCCAAAAATCAAAGGCAGCAGAATGACAGCAGGTAGAAACCGGCCAGCACCCCTCCCTCCCTCTCACCCTTGGGGTTCACTTTATTCCTCTCACCTCTGAAGCATCCGTTTCTCTCCATCTGGGAGTTCCCAGAACTCCCTGCAGTCCCCCGGGCCCACCACCCCGGTTTCTTGATGGGGTGTCAGCAGCCGTCCCTTTGCTGGTCTCTCCACGTCTGCATCCCTGCTCCCCAGCCCCGTTTTCCTCCCAGCATCCAGAGAACTCGATGATACACTTAATGGTGTCATACCTTTGCTCCCCCGTCAGAGGTTTCCTCCCTGTGAGAGCAGGTCTTCTCATTTGTGAGGCCCCAGGGTCCATCCCTTGCTCCCTGAATTTATGCCTCTGTTAGCCCCTCCTCCCGTCCTGCCACGGGGCCTTTGCACTTGTTTTTCCCTCGATGGAGACCATGCCTCCACTCCAGGCACTCCTCTAGATCGCTCCTCAGCTCCATTCACGCTTCCTCAGGGAAGCCCTTCCTGACCCCTCAGCTCTCCTAGAGCCGTGTTCTTTTCTCCTAAGCATCTTTTCTTTCCATTTTGTAATCAGACATTTAAAACAGTGAGCTTTTGTGTCTCCTCCGCTAAACCCTCAACCCCAGGATGGCAGGGACCACATGTGCTTTGCTCACCAGGGCGCCCCCTAGAGCTAGCACAGTGCCTGGCTCCCAGTAGGTGTGTAATACATATTTGTTGCCTGAATGTTTTATAAAAGACAAATAGCCCTTCACACCAGCCAGAATGGGCTGGCCAGGGCACCCGCTTCTTTGTCTGGTGTGGGTGCCCTGGCTGCCTGGCACGCCCCACCCTCTGGGTGCTGCAGGGGGAGGTGCAGATACACCCAACTATGGGGGGCTTCCCGAGTGGGGGTGAGGGGGCCAAGCTCGAGCAGAGACGTCATTTGGGTAGTGCTGGCTGGTGGGCACGTAGCAGTAGGAAAGCCGTGTCCCGGACGTAAGAAGGGCGTTGCAGGAGGCAGTCAGAACAGCAACTGTCTGTCACGCCCGGGAAGGTGCCAGGCCCCAGGCACTGGGGGAACACGAGGAGCTCCTGTTTGGCTTTCTGGTGCCTGTGTGCCAAGCCGCTTCAATTGTGTCCGACTCTTTGTGACCCCATGGACTGTAGCCTGCCAGGCTTCTCTGTCTATGGGAATTCTCCAGGCAAGAATGCTGGAGTCGGTTACCATGCCCTCCTCCAGGGCAATCTTCCCGACCCAGGGATCGAACCCATGTCTCCAGCGGCTCCTGCATTGCAGGCAGATTCTTTACCACTGAGCCACGGGGGAAGCCTGTTCCTGTTTGGCTTTGCGCTCACGGAAATGAAAGAATTTCCCTTCATGTTGGAGTGCCTTGGAGCCTTGTTGGGGTTTGTGACTCTCTGCCTCCTAGGAAGGGCCCTAGGGCTGGTATCCCATCCTAAGGGCCAGTTCATTGGTGCCTCTGGAAGATGGCGACTCAAGCACTTTCTGCAGAGCGCTGCCCGTTCCCCACCCCGCCCCGCCCCGCCGTCCTTAGGAGGAAGCTGGAAGGCAGGGAGGGCACGTCCAGCTCTGGCCTGCCCAGCCTGCTGCCTCCTGGGTTCCCTGGGGCCCCTCCCGTCCTGCCCACAGCAGCCTGGGGAACCGCCAGGGCCCTGGTAGAGGGCAGGGCGGGCACCACCTTCTCGGGATGGGCCAGCGTGAAACAGGAGCAGATGGACAGAGCCACACCCCGCTGCTCACTCTGCAGCCCAGCCACCCCACCCACCCCGACCCGTCCCCTCGGAAGGGGGGAGGGGCAGCTGCTAGGCAGGACAACAGGTCCAGGGACCCAGCCCAGAGGCCCTCCAGGCCACGCAGAGGGAGGGTCAGATCCAATCCCACTCACGGTGGGGACTGGGGAGCGGACCACTACAGATGGAACTGTATTCCTCCAAATTCCTACACTGAAGCCTCAGCGTGTGGCTGTTTAATTAGTTCCCTCGACTGGCATGGAACCTGTGCCCCCTGCAGTGAAAGTGCCCAGTCCTAACCGCTGGGCCTACAGGGGGCTTCCAGAGTGTGGCCGTATTTGGAGAGAGGGTCTTTAAAGAGATAATGAAGTTAAGAGGTAATTAAGTCCTTGAGGGTGGGGACGTGACCCCCATCGGACTGGTCCCCTTATAAGAAGAGATTAGGACGCAGAGACAGTGGGCTGCCGCAGGGGACAGACCAGGTGAGGAGGCAGGAAGGGGATGAGCCAAGGAGAGAGGTCCAGAAAACTCCAGCCCTGCCCATGTGATCTTGGCCTTCCGGCCTCCAGAACCAGGAGAATGTAAAGGTCTGCTGTTAAGCTACCTGGTCTGGGGCGTTCTGCCCTGGCAG